GAAAATGTTCTAACTCAGGGCTTCTGCGGGCCAAAATTTCTTCACTCCACTAAAATTAAGTGAAGGCTCTAACACTGTATTTAGCTACTCTGTACAGGTTTATTAAAGCTCAGCTGGCCTCATCAAAAACATTAAACAAAGCCACCCACAAGAGTTTTTAATTGTATTGGACTTACAGCTTCAAGTGTTCAGTTCACCTTTGAATTGGCCCAGAGCCCTTGCACTTGGGAGCTAACTACCTTTCAAAATTGTGTTTACACATCATCGGCACAGAAAACCTGTCCCTCCTGGAGCTGTGGTGCTATGTGGCACTCGTCTACGTTCAGACTGCGTGAATCTCGTTTTCAAGGGGAACAGGGTGTGAGTTTGCTTCGTGTCTCTATTTTATATCTGAGCCCACCTAAGCATTTTTGTTCCGCTACAATGATGAATTAAACTCTTGCCCAGCAGCGGGTGAACATCTGGGGCCACAGCTGGCCATTTGTGCATCCAGTAGAGAAGTGCCTGTGTTCACTTTGGCCATGGAGGGAAACTGTGAGTGTGCTGAAAATCCGGCTTGGGAGGACTTGTCCAGGGTGTGCAGGCTGTAAGAATGTCTATGCCCTCAAGTGATGTTCTCCAAAGAAGTGCTTCTAACACGGAGGTTTATTTTGAGCGGTTTTCGGGACCTCTCCCACCACGTCACGCCCATGCTAGGATTTATGTCCTGTCTAGCAGGAGTCTTACTGTTTTCTCCTGCTCTCCTTTGAGCAGTTGCTTAAAATTTCAGTACTTGGTTCAATATGCTGGGGCCCCTCAGATGTTCACATGTTGAGCTCCGAAGGAACAAACTCTGCCTTTGCTTGTCAAGACGGTTGAGCCTCCTGGGAGACTGTTGCCTGGGGGTGTTCTTCAGCATCCTTTGCTGCTGGGAAGACTGAGGAGGGGATTGGGAGCCCTGGAGCGTGGGGCGAATCAGGTGTGACATGTCCTGGAGATGGAGATGGATCTCCATGGAGCCCTTCTGGATAGCTGACTGCCAACTTGTGAGATGCAGCCTGGCTTCTAAGCAGTAGGCACCCACATGAGAGCAGATGCATCCTGCTCTCTGGGCTTGATGGGCTTTGGGGGTGCAGCCTCCAAGGCATCACTGGTCTTTTCATTACAAACTTTGGTTTGTGCTAGAGATTCTGAGACTTAGAAATATGTGCTCCCTGCCTGGCCCTTAGACTTCTGGTTGGTACACTCCTTTGCCAGATCATTCTTCCCACACTACAGTTGCCTGTGGCTGGTCTGTAGGTGACTGTCAGGTGTCTAGGGGTGCTTCTGCTGGGTAGTCATCTTTCTCACGATGTCGGAGCAGGCATCTGGGTATTCAGGGCATCTCAGGCGTCATGAGCAAATGGGGTGGGTCCCTGCAGCCTCTGCTTCCCAACAGGCTGGGTCACATATCAGTAGGGGGATATTACCCCAGAGCCTGCTTAACTACTTGCGGAGACTAGGGCGAGAGCATTCCCCAGCGGTTACACTAGGGTTGTGTTCCTCAAAGCATGCAGGCTCAGCTGGGGCCTTCAGTTCTGTCACTTGGATCTCTGTGCTCACTTCAGTGGTGACCCCAGAATTGAACACAGCCTGGGCCCTTGCAAGGTGACGGTGCCAGTGGGCATGCGCAGATGTTCAGGCTTGACAGAGAGGTGAGTGTCTTAGCTCGGTCTCAGCTCTGCCTCAGTGGAGGAGTGGTCAGAGCATTCTTATCAGGGATGGTGAGGAGTTGGTGGGAATGTCATGCTCTTGGGGATACCTTTACAGTCTCTGCCTCTGTGTTCCCCATCCTGTCTGCCTGTCTATCTATGTCTATCTATCCATCCATCCAGAAATGGGGTTCAGGCCTTAGGTGTAGGGACAGTGAGGGGATTCACCAGAGACAGAGTGGGGAGCAGAACAGGCAGATCGACAAAGTACACTGCTGAGGGGAGAAGCAGGGGAGGCAAGAGAGATCTGCTACTCCATGTCGATCACCTCTGGGGGGGAGGGTGGGGGGAGCGAGGCAGGGATCGAACTCGCACTGAAGTGGCCACAGTTTGGCTTAGCTTCACAGTGTAGTGCTCCAACCCCCGGCGCCACCAGGGAGGGCCCTCCTCATTCTCTTTCATCCTCCTCCCACCTCCCCCTTTGAGGTTTGAACTCTGCAGGTAAGTCAAGGGAAATCAATGATAGGTCACTTATCTTCTTCTGGGAAAGTTTAGAAGGGGCTCTGTTGACCAACAAAGGGAAGACATGGAGGTAACTCTTGGCATTTTCTGGTGCTCCCTAGAGCTGAACATTGGGGTGCCCATGGATGCCCAGTGGGAGACATGGTTGCAAGCAGTGGTATGACCTCTGGGCCCAGCATCCTCGTCTGTTACTATTAATCTACTCAAAGGCAACAGCTGCCTAGTTCCTTCTTGCGCTAGAGCTGTGGAATCTGGGAACTGAGGCTGCCTCCTTCCTCCTGAGGTCTTGCTGGGACGGCCCGGGCAGACCACCCGTGTAGCTTGTCCTTCCTTGTCTTATAGAGAAGTCTCTTCCCTCCTGTCTATGGGAGGAGAGTTTACAGATGAGTCCTTCACTTCTTCTGGAGAACTGAAACAACTGAAAATGAGTCTGGATGTTTGGGAAATGGATCAACTGCTCATCCCATGACTCATGGTGATTTTCAAGAACCAGTGGTGGTTGTATTTGCTTACTGTCTTACAGACAAGAGGAAGCAAGAGCTAAATGTCCCTGTGGGGGACAGCTGTGTGGCTCGATGGCAGTGTACACAGGGTCTCTGATTTCTGGATCTGGGCCCTCCGTGACCAGCTATGGCAGCTAGTGGGCAGGACAGGTCAGAGCTGGGGGGTGGGGCCGGCACGCTCGGCCGTCTGTGTCTGAGCTGCATCCATGGCTCCTTTGTTCCTTTACGTCCCTCTGACCCCCCCCCCCCACGGGCCTGCACTGCAGGAGAAATGGAGAAATGTGGTTGGTCCTAAGAAGCTTTCTTGACGACCTCCTACGACTTTCCCCTCTAAAGCCCCCTCATTTCTTTTTAGTTGAGAGCAGCCTTAGAATTATAGAAAAAGTTGCAAAGCAAGTAGGGAAGTTTCCTCGTACACCCCACACGCAGCGCGCCTGGAACCCCTGCCTGTGCCGGCCTTTGCTGGGCTTCTCCAGGAAAGGGATCCGGTCCCCCCATCCCTCCTGCCTGCTGCACTCTTTGTTTATCTATTGTAAAGGCTACGGCGTGATGATTTAATACATGTGTACATTGTGAAATGATTACCACACTCAACTTAATTAACACCTCCATCACCTCACGTAATTACCCTTTTTTTTGTGGTGAGAATACTTAAGACTACTCTCTTAGCAAATTTCAGGTATATACAACACAGTGTTACCAACTATTGTCGCCTGCTGGCCAGGCCCCCAGAACTTTTCCCCTTAGAACTTGGAGTCTGGACCTTTCACCAGCCTCTCCCCACTTCTCCCCATCCCGCTCGCCCCAACTGTCACAGCACTAAAAGTGAGAGTGGACAGATAGATGCAGCACCTGTCTGTGTGGGTCTGTCCGCGCCATCGGCTCAGCAGAGAGGGGCGCTCAAAGCAGGCATTTTCCTGGCAATCCAGAGACTGCATTTGCAGCTGCTTGGAGCCATCATTAGCGGCTTGTGAGAAGAAAGGCCCGAAAGGGTGAAACGCCAAACCACGGCACACTTTGCCGCTGCTCCCCTGTCAGGCGCGGATTCCCACGTTCTTCCTCTGAGAAAAACCAGTCTGATTTCCTCTCCATGACACCGTCGGCTGCCCTGTCCAATATCACTGTTATTACTCTCCCGTGATGCCTGCCATCATTTAATTATTGTTTGTGGACCAGCCGGTAGTACTTTAGGGCAATTAAGATTCTGATGTAAGAACAGACCTGTCTGTGTCCTGAAACATTCATTGTGAGAGCTGGAGCTGGGCTGTGGCAGTTCTGCATGGCTTTATTTTCTAATTTTCGTTTTTAAAAATTTATTTATTTTTGTGCAGAAGACCTGGAATGTAGGGGGGTGAGAGGCTTTACCAGCGACAGGGTGAAGGACAGAACAGGCAGATCGACCGAAACACATTGCTGAGGGGAGCAGCAGATGAGACAGGAGAGGCCTGCTGTGCCCAGGGTCAGCTCCCTGGCTGGGGATCGAACTCAGGTCTCAGATAGGGGTGAAACTTAACACCTAGGCCACCACTGAAGGTTTTAAACAGGGTGGGGGAGAGACTGATACCTGCCAGCCTCCTGGCAGCTGCCCCACGCTGTCCTCTGGCCCAGGGCAGCGAGTCCTTGTCCTAGCATCCTGCCTTTGAAAGGGCAGGGTAATCGGAGAGCTGGCGTTGGAGCTGTGGGCCCCAGGCTTGCTGAGCGAATGTGGAGAGAGAGGCTGCTTGTTCTCCAGGAGGGACGCTGGGCCCAGCGTGGGGCTCCGGCCTGCTTCAGGGACAGGCGGCCTGGCTCGGTGAGTGGGTGAGGCTGCGTTCTCCTGTCCCCACATTGCAGACCAGTTTTTATTTTAAAGAAGTGTATCAGCACTGAAGATGTTGTCACCCACCGGAACAGCTGGCTGGTCATCCCGCAGAGCTTCCCAGAGCTAGCTGCTCTGGCTAGCTGCTGGGGGTGAGGGTGCTGAGCTCCCCCAGCACATGAGGGGAGGTGGTGAGGGAGAGGAGGAAGCCTCAGTAGCTAATCTGCCAATTAGTTAATTAGCTAAGTCGCATCAAAGCTAAGCTCTCTGAAATTGTTGTTTCTTTTCTTGAACTTTCTGGATGATTGCATGCTCACAGGGGCAGCGTGGGGCATCCTGAGCTGCTCTGCAGGCCAGCTGGGTTTGTGCAGCTCCAGAGGTCCTGCTTCCAGGCGGCTCCAGAGGTCCTGCTTCCAGGAGAGGGTGGGAGCTGTGTTGAGGGACGCTGGCTGCGCCCTCCCGTCTTCTGTCTTCATGCCTGAAACCTGTCTCCTTTCCCCTCTGCAGGATGTTAACACCGGGGAGGGCAGTGAGTTTGCAGACAGCGGGATCGAAGGAGCCACCACCGACACGGACCTCCTGTCCAGGCGGTCCAATGCCACCACCTCCAGCTACTCGCCCCCCGCCGGCCGTGCCTTCGTGGGCAGCGACAGCGGCAGTAGCTCCACTGGGGATGCGGCCCGCCAGGGGGTGTACGAAAATTTCCGGCGGGAGCTGGAGATGAGCACCACCAACAGCGAGAGCCTGGAGGAGGCAGGCTCTGCGCACAGCGACGAGCAGAGCAGCGGCACGCTGAGCTCGCCCGGCCAGTCGGACATCCTGCTCACAGCCGCTCAGGGCACCGTGCGCAAGGCAGGGGCGCTGGCCGTCAAGAACTTCCTGGTGCACAAGAAGAACAAGAAGGTGGAGTCGGCCACCCGCAGGAAGTGGAAGCACTACTGGGTGTCCTTGAAAGGTAAGCTGGCCTGCACCGCCTCCAGCGTCACACACACGTCTGGGCGCACCTGTCCCGAGGGTTGTGGTTTCAAGTTCTATGGGAATTTTATATGGATTCAAAGCAGATTGAGGCTGCAGAGGGGAAGAGTGCAGACTGGGGAGCAGAGGTGGAGGGTGTGTGGTGGGCTTGGCATGGTGGGTGTGGCATGGTGGGCCAGGGTGGTGAGCGTGGCACGGGACACGTCCCCCAAGAAGCTTGAACCAGTAGCTGTAAATTATCCACAGTGGGGTAAATCAACGTAAAAGTGTCATACAGTTCAAAATCATACAGTTAAGAGCAAGCAACAGGAAAATTAAAAAAAATTTTGTTAGTGTAAAAAAATGAACGAATTTCTAAGGGTGCCTTCCCTTGCTGCTGACTGGCGAGTGCCAGTGGACAGTAGATCGCTAGAACTTCATCGTTTTACTTAACCCTTTATCTATAAATACCCCCTCCGCTGCCACCCCTCTCTACCAATGTCATTCTGTGTTCTTTGCTTTTTTCACAATCATGCTGGATGTCTGGCTTTCTCCTAGATACAACCTGTTTTGATGATAGTTCTGAAGGACAGTTTACAAAATCCTTTTTTTTGGGAATCATGCCTGGTAATCAGGTCCTTCCCATAGTGACTTTTGGGAGGGAAGATCCAAAGAAATCAGTGTTTCTAGGTTAAAAAAAGATAAAAAGCACAAATTTCACAAGGTTCAACTTAATGCTCTGTGGCATGTCTAAGCCACAAATGTATTTGTGAAGCAGTTACTATTTCAGAGTCACACTTTGCTGGAGCAGTTGTATAGATATGTAATGCATGTGTAGATTGGCGTTTTCATGAATAAGCATAATACTTCTGAGTCTACCATTGTCATTTCCATACTCTGTTGAGTCACGTATGTTACTCCACATGTCTGCCCCTGTCCTGTTGTATAGAAGTTGTAACTCATCTGTCAATCCTGTGTCTTAAAAAGGAAACCACTTCAAGTCCACATAGGCTTCTTCCACAGCTGGGTTTGAAGCAGAGTTCGTATCTGTCAGGAGAAGTGAGTGAGGGGAACAGGTGTGAGGGTCATCCCCAGGAAGAAGAGGTAGGGCTGACCTAGTGGCTGCACACACTGGCCCTTCCATGTTGGATTTCACCAGTGGGACTGGTGTGGGGCATGCAGTCCCAGTAGCATGGAACAGCCTAGAACTCTTCAGGAGAGCATAGGCCAACCCAGGGCAAGCAGGGTTTGGGTAATCCCCAATGCTGGTGGTTCCAGCCTGGTGGAACAGAAAGGGAGCATGTTAATTTGAATCTGCATTTGGCCACATCTGTCAGAAGCCCTCAGTGACAGTGTCATAAGCAAGGTAGAATTTTATCCCCTTCCCACCTGCCCTTATGGGCCATTTGAAGTCTATGTGGTGACTCTTTTCCTCCATGAAATCATCAAGGAACTGGGATTCTTTTATTTTGTTGCCCAACTATTTTCCAGAGCATTCTCTTAGTCTCCACGGTTAAGGTGGTCATCACCAGGGCCACGCTATAGCAGAGAAATGGGGAAGTGGAGGAGTTTTACCTCTGAGGGAATGTCTGTAAGTTACTGAGTCACTCTGTTTCCATCGCATGGGCCAGAGGTGGGTCAGACATAGCTGCAAGGGAGGCAGGCAGGCTGTGTTACTCTTGGGTGCATCGCCTTGGCCCAGCAAGCATGGCTGGTCTACAGCCACATGCCCAATGAGGCTGCCTTCTGGAGCTGGGGGTTACCATCTTTCTCTTCTTTTCAGACATGCTGGGTTATTCTATCTTTTTGACTGACTTCCAACAACGTGTTAGGAACTAGAGTCTGGTCCTTTCTCACATCCCTTTCTCTTTTTGAAGATCAGCTTTAGGGATTTGAAGTTTGAACAAAAAAGCAGAACTCTGGCCTTTGTAATGGTTTCAGTGGAAAACCACATGACATATTGATAGTAAATGCCAAATTTTGTTCCCTGTGCCAAACTAAATACTCTGTGATAACACATAAGAAGTCTATACTAAAATTTTAACAGTGACAATGAAGAGTGTAAAATGTGATAAAAGTCCTGTCAGTTTGCACGCACGCACCTTGTTGTACATGGGGTGTTTGCCCCACTCAAGCAGCACAGATGTTCATCTGTGGAACCCTCTAGAACTGCTGCTCTTCTCTCTCAGGTGTGACTTGCTGCACCTGAATTTGAGGTGCTGCGGAGTCATGTCTGAGGGGTCTGAATTCTGCCTTCTGCTCTTCTGTGGGGACAGAATGACAGGAGAGTAAGAGGGGGCTCCTACCCCCACTTTCTGCTCCTGTCCCAGATGTGCTCACCACTGGCAGTCTCTGTGCCTTCTAGCAGCCTATCTAGTCACTTCCTTTATTCATAGAGCTGTATGTTAGCATGAATGGTCAGGCAGCCACCCACATCTCAGAATTCTGGATACCTTCTGGGTTGCACCAGCTCCACAATTTGGAGGTGGGATTCAGTCCCTGTCTTATCTGTACATCAAGTGGGTGACTTCAGCAAAAGAATTCATTTCCTCACAGTCTTGAATTCTTGAAGTCCAAGGACAAGGGGTGAGGTCTCTCTCCCTGGATCTTAAACATGGCTTTTTTCTTCTCTGTGTCTGTCTCTGTCCAAAGTCCCCTTCCCTAGAAGGACACAGTCAGATTGGTCTAGGGCTCCCCCATAGGTCCTCATTTGACTTTAATTGCCTGTTTGAAGACTTTATCCCCAAATATAGCCACATGCTGAGGGTGTCCTGGGCTAGTGCTTCAACCTAGAAGTTTGGGGGGCATCATTTAATCTACCGCAAGACTGAGTTTGTAGTTTGAACAGGCCTCCCAGGTGATGCTTATGTGAGAGTTGTGAGCAGCAGCTTAGAATAAAAATAGTTAGGGGATCTGGACTTGGGGCATGGGGATGGGGGCTGTTTTGTTCCTGCTATTCCCTCAGAGTATAAATGATGCCGGAAGTGAGGGTGGGAGGTGCAGAAGCACAGCCATGAGCCTGTCAGCTGGCGCTCCTTCACTTCCTTGGCGTCCCAGATCTGAGTAACACAATCTCTCAGGATCCAGTTCCAACATGTGGAGCCACTGAGTCCTTTGCCCCCTCACCTTGACAGTTCCCCTTAATTTTGATGGGCTCAGGCTTGACCCAAAGGCAGGACCTGCTGCTGGCTCTTAGGTCCTGAGGAATAAAAAGCAGAGCAGCTGGTGGGACAGACATCTCTCTCCAAAGACTTTTTCCTTTCCCTTTCACTAGCATAATTCATTTTAAAAAGGAGTCATTTGAGGCCCTCCCTGGTGGCGCAGCGGGTTAAAGCGCAGCACTGGGAAGCTAAAGCCACTTCCGCATGAGTTCAAATCCCGCCTGCCCCGGAGGAGACCACATGGCGTGGCAGACCTCTCCTGGCCCACCCGCTGCTCCCCTCAGCAGTGTACTTCGTCGATCTGCCTGTTCTGCTCCCCACTCTGTCTCTGGTGAAGCCTCTCACCGCCCCTGAGCCTCTGGCCTGTACCCCCAGTTCTGTATGTACAAATAAATAAATCTTTAAAAAAAAAAAAAAGGATTCATTTGAATTAGCCTCTGGGGGCTCTCCTCGGACAGCTGAAGGGCACAGCAGTAACGTTCAGCGAACTTGTGGTTTCTGGGTGTGCAGCTTTGCCTTCGTCTTCCCATTGCGACAAGTAGATACTTAGAGGAAAAGCCAGTTTTCCTCACCTACTGTCATGGGTGATGGTAGACGAAGGTTGAAAACCTACAAATAGAGCAATCTAGGGTGACCCTCAAATGCTCGGTGTGTGCACATCTGGGATTTGTGGGTCCCCCCAAGACAGGATCCTGAGGTCTTTGTGTTCCCATTCTGTGGTTATTGAGCAACCTCGACTTAGTCCCTTTTGTTAAGAATCTGCACATTGTTAGTCGTAAGTTGTTTTAGGCCGGTTTTACAATCAGGGTGCTGTGACATTTTCCAGACACCTCCAGGTAGTTGTGGGGCTCCTGCCTGGGTGGTGTGATGGTTTAGCTGCATACCTATGCTTCTGCTCCCCACCTCCCTCCCCCAAGACCAAAAGGGTCTTCAGATATTGCCACGCAGCCCCTGGGACAAAATTGCTACTCCCCTCCAGAACTTCTGATTTGGGGGATATAAGCACCCCCCTTTTCCGTTTTAAAAATCTATCTCCAGATCTATGTTAGGTCGAGACCTAGAACTTGGAGATACAGATGACATCTCAATGTGACGTCTGTTATCTTGCAACAAGCTCATATCATCCAAATAACGGGGACTTTGAGAAAAATAGAGTTGGGTATTTATTCAGTGGATCTGTAATTAAGTTATAGGCTGGCCATTTTGGAACCCAAAAGCAAAAGAAAAAAAAAACAAAAAAACCCAAAAATCTACTGTAATACTTAGTTACCATCTTAGTTCCTGAATAGTGACCGTCACAGAAAACATAAGGCATTGCCTTTAAGACAAAAGTGAATATCACTTGACTGGGCACCAGGAACATGGGGAGTCCTGAGTTATGGGGAATTAGCCAGTGCAGACACCCTGAGGTTTAATCAAGGCTCTCTGGTGGCTGCTCCAGTGTTGAGCCTGAGGATGCCTGAGCTGTGTGCACTGCAGTGAGCCCACGTCAGCAGCTCTGCAAAGCTAAGGTAAATATTAAGGGTCAGGAAAACTCACCTTTGAAGGAAGGTGATTCTTCCACGGAGTCACTTCTTTCTCCTTTACTGAGCACAGACTTGGCTATGGAATTCACACGGTTGCTGACGGGGGCTTGTGTTGTGTGGGAAGATGTGGACAGAGTCACTTTATGTTGGAATTAAGAAAGAGGCATAAAGAGCCTCCCTGGTGGCACAGGGGTTAAAGTCTCAGTGCTGTGTGTTCGATCCCTGGCCAAGGAGATGACCCGCATTGCTCAGCAGACCTCTCCTGTCTTGCCCGCTGCTCCCCTTGGCAGTATATTTTAATAGATCTGCCTGTTCTGCTCCCCACTCTGTTTCTGGTGAATTTTCTCGCCTCCCACACCTCTTGTCTGCAACCCAGTTCTTGCATGCATAAATAAATAAGATAAAATAAAGAGTCATAAAATCAGACCCCGACGTGCCTGGCAGTGGGTTTCAATTCATGGGGAAGAAGTGCTCAGCTAGTAATGACTTTAGGCTGAGCCTCATGTTTAGGCCAGGATGGAGGGTATTTATGAACCCAAATGGTAGCAAATCTGTCTAAGGTGTTTTACTGCTGCTGTGTTAATTTTACAGGTTGCTAAGTGTGGACCAGGCCTGAGCTTCTTGCAGGCCTTCATAGGTAGCCTTGCATTTTCTCTTCCAGCAGGGATAAGGATATGCTTTCTGTCTAGAAAAAGATTTTTTTTTAAATTTATTTTTGCATAGAAGAACTGGGGCATAGGCCAGAGGTGTGGGGATGAGAGGATTCCACAGAGGCAGAGTGGGGAGCAGAACAGGCGGGTCTACTGAAACACACTGCGGAGGGCGAGGAGCGGTGGGGAGACAGGAGAGGTCTGTTCTGCCATGTGCGTCAGCTCCCTGGCCAGGGATCGGACTCGGGCCACAGTGGCTGTAGTGCTGAGACTTGACCCCTAGCGACCAGGGAGACCCTAGAAAAGCCATTTTATAGGAACAATCTGATATTAAAAGCCCATCATTTCTTACCTTACACCTTCTATACCTGTTGCCAATATTATATGCTGTTTTCCATCAAGGGCATAGTCCAGACCCTGGTAAATTGCATTTCCTGCATGCATGTCTGGTGAGATGGGCGGAAAAGGTTCCAGTGCAGCAGTGCTGGCCACCTGTCCTCACACAGCACCCCGGAACTTCCCTACGGAACTGACTTCCCTAAGACGCCCAGGTAGCCATGAGGATGCCTGTGAGGAAAACACTAAGTAAAACAGAAAGACCATCAGAACCTCAGGACGTGCACAAAGGAGCCCCTTGAGTTGCATCCAAGACTCCAGCACAGGGCTGTCCCGTGCTCGCTCCTTCCTGTGTTGTTCACACTGTATTTCCAGCTCATCTTGTGAGGAGGGTCTAGCCAGTTCCTGCTGCAGACTTCCTGTTGTTTAAGTGCCACATGCTCACGCACACCCTGCTTTGTTTGCTCAGGGTGCACGCTCTTCTTCTACGAGAACGATGGCCGGTCCGGAATCGACCACAACAGCATCCCCAAGCATGCTGTCTGGGTGGAGAACAGCATCGTGCAGGCGGTGCCCGAGCACCCCAAGAAAGACTTCGTCTTCTGCCTCAGCAACTCCCTGGGCGACGCCTTCCTCTTTCAGGTTTGTTCGCCCCACTGCAGGGCACTTCTGGTCTCTTCCCAGATACCATCCTCTCCTCTTTTCATATAAGTGGTGGGTTTTAGGCCTTCCCTCAATAGAGAAACAGAATGATGTAAGGCAAAATTTCAGCTGAGTTCTAGGAATGACTCAATTCACCCAGAGCCGTGTGTGTGTGCGTGTGTGTGTGTGTGTGTGTGTGTGTGTGTGGTGTGGAGAAGAACTGGGGTATAGTCCAGAGGTATGGAGGGATGGGGGACTGAGAAGATTCACCAGAGACAGAGTGGGGAGCAGAACAGGCTGAGGGGAGCAGTGGGTGAGACTGTAGAGGTCCGCCTCATCATGTGGGTCAGCTCCCTGGCCGGGGATTACACTGCAGGAGCTGGTGATGGCATCACAGTGGAGAAACTCAGTCCCTGGTGCCACCGGGGAGGCCCTCACCCAGGCACCTGCAGAGGGGCGGGAGTGTACTGAGTGAGAGAAGCTTTGTGTGCTTCCTATGCGTTGAAGGATTTTTTCAGTGTAATCTTTATACCTTTTGTGTAGCCCTTTAGAAAAGCGATCATGAACTCCTTAATATAGACTTGATTTGAGCTGTCAAATTTTTTATCATAATATGTTCTTTTCTGATATTACTCATAAAGTAAAATAATGACATTCCAGAAATAACCAGCTAAACCCAAATGGGTGCTTTTCCTCATCTTATAAAACTTTCTACCCAGTGTTCTTGATATTGGACTGTTACATGTATTAAAAATACTAATTACATGAAGGTTAATTTTTGCCTTTTTAGGGAATACTTTGAGTTTGGTCAGTGGTGATCTACTTTTCCAAATATCTGTGCTGTTAGTTATAAAGACTTCATTTATCCTATTTTTCAAAAGTATTTCTTTCTTTCTTTATTTTTGCATAGAAGAACTAGTGCATAGGCCACAGATACAGGGGATGAGAGATTTCACCAGAGACCGATTAGGGAGCAGGACAGGCTGATTTACAAAAATATGCCGCTCAGGGGAGAAGCATTTGAGACAGGCGCGGTCTGCTATGCCGTATGTGGGTTAGCTCCCTAGGCCTCTAGGGAAGCCCGACTTCTTTCATTCTGGCAAAGCATGAACTCTTGAACATTTATTCCATTTTGTACTATGCACAAAGTATTCAGAGTACCAAGAAGATTTTGACACAGTTTCTATCCTTGGAATATAATAAGAAGACAGATCTTTCTTCCTTATGCCTAATAGTCAATTTTAGAAGAATAGGGATGAATTGGGTCAATTGGACAGTAAGACTGTCCAGAGGAGAGAGCTGGGGAAATGGCGTGGAAGAGAGTAATAGTTTAATTCATTGTATTTCTGCATTTAGTCCCTGAAGTTAGAGTAAGAAAAATCAAATAGTAATTTTGTTAACTGACGACACATCTGTTTCTTCTTTTCTTAAAAACTCTGTGATGTAAAACACATACAGATGAGTGCACTAAACATAAGCATACTGTTGGGTGAACTTGTACAACATCGGTCTGTAACCGCCACCCAGAGTAAGGGATAGATGGCTGTAGCTCTCTCCAGTTCATCCTCCCCCACACATACACACTTAAATAGAGCGAATGTCTGTTGTCTTCCAAGCCAGAGCCCTTTTTTATCCAATAATGTCCTTGTTTCTTCTTCGTTTTGGGGGGATAATTTTGCTAGATATAGAATTCTTGATTCACAGTCTTATTTCAGTCCTTTGGAAATATCTGTAGTTGCTGATGAGAAATCTGCTCATAATCTGGAAGATGCCTTATATTGATGAGCTGCCTTTTGCTACTTTGGGGTTTTTTTAGTAATTTGTTTTTAAAAAGTTCGGTTGTATGTCTAGGTGTTGAACTCTTTAATTTTATTCTACCTATAACTAATTGAACTCTTGGATGTGTAGGTGTATGAGTATGCATCGTACTTGGGAGCTTTTGGCTATTATTTCTTCAAATGGTCTTCTGCCCATTTCTCTCTCTTGTTTCCTGGTGTCCCAGTATGTTTCTGTTAATGTCCTTAGTGGTATCCCACACGTCTCCGGACTATGGATGGACTCAGCAAGACACTCTAAGAACTAGCCAATATTGAGAATGATAGAGTCATTACTAACAATTATGCTAGGTAACAGGGATAAGTTGCAATATCTTCAGGATGCCCTACAGCCCCTCTACAGGTGCTTTGAGGTTGATCCCAGTTTGGGAGAGTTACAAGCAGTGTGCTATGAGTACTTTTGTATGTTCAGGACAATTTGTCCATGTCTCTGTTGGTATATACCTAGGAGAGGCATTGCTGTGTCATGGTATGTTTAGATTTGGTTGGTTGGTTTCCAAATGGTTGGAATAGTTTATGTTTCCATAAACAACTTAGGAAAATTCTAGTTGTTCTTCATCATTGTCCATACTTAGTATTATCAGAAATATTTTCCCCTTTATGTTACTAATGTGAAGTTGAGCATATTTCCATGGTTTAATGGTCATTTCAGAATCATCTCGTGTGAAGTACTTATTTCAATCTGCCTGCTTTTTTCTTCGGTAGTAATGATCATGGTAGTTGTTTACATATTTTGTATATCTTCTCTTTGCTGAGTCTATGAATTGCAAATACCTTTACCCACTCTGGGGCTTTTCTTTTTCTCTCTTAAAGGCATCCTTTGTTATACTGAAACTTAAATTTTAATGTGATACCATTTTCAAGTCTCCGTTAATGGGTATTACTTTGTGTTTCCTATTTGAAAAATCTACATGATCTGCATCATGAAAATATACTTACAACTATTGCTTTTGTGTGTCTTGGCATGACTTTTTATTAGTTAATTAGAAATCTTGCAAATGAGGAAATACCTAACTAGTTGTACAATAATATCACTACGACATTAGTGCCTATCTTTTATGAGCTCGTGATTGTATACCACCCTCTTGAAAGTGGTTTGCAGTGTCAGTCACATTTAATTCTTACTGCAATCAGTATGTCGGATTGTGTACCTAGATTTTAACCGATGGGTTTGGATTGGTTACCCTACTTGTAAAACTGAGACCTATCAAGGCTTGTAATTGGATGCTAAGTAGCATAGTTACTGATAATTAGGGCTGGATTCAATCAAATCCCTTTTTCTCCAAAGCCTCTTATTGCCTGATTATACTTTTTATCTTATTCTTATCATAGTTTACCCTGAGAACATAGGCAAGAATCTGTGACCACAGTAAAGTCAGACTAATTTTTTTTGCATCCTTAAAATTAAAACACCCTTAGGAAATGTGTCTAAATCATAACTTAATTTTGTCTATTCTGGACTCACTACAGAGTTCAGATGACAATTTGATCTATTTCAGGAAACTCTTCTTTTTACATACTCACTCTAATATGAATTCCTTTTGAAAAGACCCTTCTTGGCCTTAAAATTGCTACTAGAATCAAAATACCCAGTAGTTCACATTGAATAAAATGATTTTCTGGTAACATAGGACCTTATTCATGAAAACCTCTGTGTCCTCTTGTTATGGTGAAAATTTTTATGCTTCTTACGTGGGATAGAGCACAAAATGAACCTTTTCAGAGGAAATTACTGCTGTGGAGATCCATGAGGGCATTTTCTACCTTCTACTTATTGTAATCCACATAACTCTAAAGGGGCTGTATTTGAAAGGAATCTATGTGTGTAGGGGGTGAGGTTAAAGCAGGGGAGATCAGCCACGATTATGGAAATAATTTGTAGGTTACTCCAGCCCCAGGGCTCAATTCATTGCACATAGTTTCCAGTGCCTGAATGCTGCTGATTCGATGTTGTTATTCAGTCATCCACGAAAGGAGATTCATGTCACCAACGAAAGTAGAAAAGGGGTTTTGTGCATGGGTTGGGGGTGGGCATGAACATGAATGCTAAGGCAGCTTGTATAGAAGTGTGACTCTGTTTGCAAAGTGAGGTTGTAGTAGTGCCTGTATTTAAATTATTTAAATTAAAATTCTTTGCTGCAACTGGAAGCCAAAAATGGTTTATGCCACCTGCAAAGTACAGTTTCTTTTTGGTCCTTCATTGTCCATCATTGGAGGATGTCACATGTCACTCCAGAAAACTGTGACTTTTGTGCTGATGGAGCCTACTAGTGCTTAAATCCTATATTAAATGCCTTGAGAACTTAGTCACCAGACAGGATAAGAATGATGCCGGATTGGGAGGGGAATCATACGGTATTGTATAAGCAAGGAAGAGTAGAACATACTGTCTGAAGAGGTAGGACCATTTCATAGCAAGTTTTCTTATCATTTACCAGGTCACTTGAATGAGGCTATGCTTGGTATTTAGAGCCCAGTTTTTTGTTTTTTTTTTTTAAGTACTAACACTCCAGAATACTGCATTGGGGTTAAGTATGATAATAAATATTTTACAGTTATGACTTTCATTATAAAGAGGAGGCTAGTTCTCTGTGCTTCTTGTAAACATCCTTAGTGAAGCCCAGTGTGGCTTTCCTGTGCACAGTCTAAGGGTTTGAGCTGTAGCTGACTTTGGAGAACTATCCAGAAGTGTCACACACTGTCAGACTTGACAAAGATCATTGGAACACGCTTTGAACTAGTGTATCAGGTTAGGGAAAATTCTAGAAATCATCTTTCACAAAGAGGTCTCAAGCTGGCTACCTACAAAAGATTTAGGAGACTAAGAGTAAAGTGCAGCCTTCTAAACTGACACCATCTCTCCCAGTCACTCCACATTGGGTCACCTCATCCACTGATGGACAAATTGTATCCCTGGGAAGCTCTCAGCTCTCCAAGTTATCTGCAAGTTCTAGAATGTTCTTCATTATATTAAAGTTATATTCTTTATGGGGACTTTTCCCACTTCCCTCTGTTTTCATAGTCTCCCCAGGGTCGAAAGTGAATCTTCTGCTTCATTCTGTCTTACAACCTTAAAAATAATTGCCAACACTGGTCTTTTGCCTGTGCTGTGTCTCCTGTTTGGACTTGCCTGACTTAGTCTTCTGAGCTCTTGTCTCTAGGACT